TCAGGAGTGGGCACACAGTTAAAATAGTTGTAAAAATATCTCAATCTTTCTTTTTCACCGATACAGTATACATAGATCCATAACAAATGTAGACTGTTGAAAGTCACGGTTATTTTCTTTGTATGTTTATGAATAGAATAGTATATCTGATGTTAGATATAAACTAATTGTATGTCCTCCCCTACTTGTTTCATGTGGATAACATTCTATATAAAAACTCCAGCCATTCATCCAATTTCAGTGGGGAAAAAAATCCTAAAATAATTTTACAGCATAAGTAAACAAACACCCCTCACATTTCCCAAAGGTACTGGGGGAACAGCAGCTACATTTTCGTACAGTGAATTGAACTAACCTGCTGACCTGTGGCTCTTCTTTTGCTCCCATTTCTTAGTTTCAACATCATAGTAACCCATGGAAGAAAGGTGTGTGTAAAACCTAAATCATAATGGTATAATTTTTATTTTTATCATTTAGGCCTTGTCTATACTGGCCAAGGAAAGTATGTTAGCAATTTTCCAGCATGATTCACTAGAAAAATACTGCTGTGGTTTCCTTGGCCAGTAAACAAGATGAGCAAGGCCTCAAAGGAGCACTGTCACGCTGACATGCTCTGTATAGCATCTTTTCAGTTTTACCTTACAGATGAACCCGACATGGGAAACACTAAACTTTCACTCAGCAAAAACTAGAGGCAAAGTACCTTTAAATGCAAGATCATGCAAGCTTACCACACTTGCCGAGGGAACATGACAAACATAATTTTCTTTGCTTGTAACACTGCCTTACCTCCCAAGAGCATTTATCTGTCATGTTTAATAAGGAAGAGAAAGATAGTACCTTCACACCCCCACAATACAATACTGAGAAAATTCACGCAACTTTTCATGGACCCTACAGATAATATTTATGTATTGTGACTCAAGCATTTTCATCAAGTTTTTTTGACCTCAGTTAAGATTTTTGCCTCTAAAACACCTCAAAATATAATTACATTTTTTCTAGTTTGGGGAGGATATTCCCAGTTGTATAAGCAATATATTATTATATTCTACATCACATCCTTGCTCCTCACAGTTACTATTAGCACCTCCTTTCTTTATTCAGAAAGGATGAAAAAAAACCAAGCCTCCAAGCTGGTGGGAAGAAAAATAAAATGAAAGCAGCAGCCTAAAGTAAAAAACTCATTCCTTAGGACAAAGAATGTGCTTGTGGGAATGGCAAGTATTTTATTACCATTTGCACAGGCTGTTATAAACAGCAGTGCTGAGAACACTTGCATGTTGACAGAACAAGACTGCCCTCCCCCACCATTCCCAAGGACTTATACTTCAAACAAAGACCAGTGGAGATTTCCCCGTTATCTCCTGGTACAGTAAACATCACATTTTCATGTTGCTGTGCATGAACAGACAAGGTTGTTGCCAGGGCACCTAACCTAAGGGGGTTGGGAGAGTGAATTTTGAAATACATGTTTGCTGCTGACTTTCTGATGTGTCTGAAAGTTATTACTAGGTTATGATCAGCACAAGTAACTAAAACAAATAAATATATAAATACCAGGAATAAATAAACCCCAAAGTACAATTCTTAGTCCTTAAAAGAGACACATGAAGAAAGACCTAACATCAGACAACGTTTGGACACAACAGTGCATAAAGCACACATCCCCTGATGTATTTTTCTATATTAAATTATTTCCCTTCAAGAAAATCCCAGAAGGAGAAGGCAGAGAGGAGAGAGAAAGGAGTGTGCAGCAGTGTCATTCCACCCACAAGCTCTGTGTGCTACCCTCTCCTCCCTCTCTATTTCAGGGACTCCAGGCAATCTTCCACCCCTTTCCTCATGCCAGGAGCTGTGTCCTTCATAACACCCTCCTCCATACAGTTGACACCACCCCAGTTTGGGAGGCCCCCATTCCAAGGTCTCTGAGTTCCCCCCACCTCCTGCCCTCAGGTGCCCCACTTTCAACCGCCCCATCTCTATTCCCCTTACTCCAATTCCCTGCTTCCGTGCCTGCCCATCCATTTCCCCCTTTCTGAGCTCCTGCTTCCCTCAGCACCACAATTCTCCTTCTCCACCCATTCCCTTATAGGTCCCTGCTTTTCTTCTCTCCGCCCCGCCTCCCACACAAACACTCTCCACTTCTCTCTTTCCGGGTCCCTGAGAGACCCTGCTTTCCCCTCCCCATTGGCAAATACACTCCCCTACCCTCCTTCCCCAGTCCTGTCTGGGGGCCTGCTTCCTCTCCCTCACTGCCATCTGGGTCCCTACTTCCCCCACCACCATCGCCCCATCCCTAAGGTCCTTGCTGCTTTGCCCTCACCCCCACTCTTGCCCCTCCCACACACTCTGCCCTCCCTTTCCCTCCTCCCTGGATCCCCAATTCCCACCCTACAAACCCTCCTCATAAAGGCTCTCTTACTTCTATTAGAGTTGAGGTTATAATCTCTCCAGGCACCAAGTTAAGGTTCTACCTCTGATGTGAGAAGGCAGCAGCAGGGGGAACCAAAAAGATTCCTCTGCCTGCAGCACTGGGCAGTCTGGGGGCCATGATTTTCCTGTGAATCAGGCTCTTTCAGTGTTTTGATTTGTATCAGATTCAACAGGATTCTGCCCAATGATGGCTAAATAGTCCCAGAAATTTTGGAATTGGTTGTTTGCAGTGTTCCAAAGTTATCATATTATATCCAAACACACACACACACACAAATGCAGCTGAGTATTGCACCTTGCTTTGGTCGGCCAAATAGCTTCCTGAAACGTGTTTCCCTCTATGTCACAAATATATCCATTTTACTGTATGTTCTACTGTATACCCACAGGCCTGGGTCCTTTCTACAAAAACAATTTGTTAAAATTCCTATTCCCCACCTTTTGTTCAAAATAGTTTTGTGAATATTACTGTAGTTTCCATGGGAGAAGGGAAGGGGCAGGCTCCATAGAGACTTGAATGAATGGGGAGCAGATTTACATGTCCCCTTCAGCAACCTGTGGAGCAGCTGTGGCATTATTGTGTTGGTGTGACAAAACCTAAAAACGCAACACAGAGCCCCTCTACAAACCCCTGAAGGTTACCACAGGATCTATTCTAGCTACCAAGGTTCATATTCCTTGTCTATCACCATGGCATCTTTTGGATATGGCTCATGATACAGTTTTTGCACAGAGCACAAATGACTGTTTTCAGGAGGGGGCTGGGTTATACCAAGGAGAACAAAAGTTAAAAAAATGAGGGTAAGGGGATATATAAAGTTTCTAGAACTAAACTGATCCACATTCTCAGCTTGTGGAAAAGTGAGTCACCCCTGAAACCTGAAGTGACAATAAAAATAAAATAAAGGATTTTAAAAAATCCTCCCATCACAACAGGAAACCACAGGTCATTTTGTAATTATATATGTTTTTTAAACACAGTAACTCAAGACTATTTACTGCCATTACTATTCATTGAAAAGCACTTGCTGTAGATTGCTACACAGTTTAACTTGAGCAACATGTAAAAACGCCAGCAGACAGTAAGAAGAGAGATAAGAAAGGGCAGATGAGGTCACCCACTCATTTGTTGTTATGTAGAGGGTGTACTGAGGAGCATAGCAGAACATGCATTTCATCTTCTCTGCTATAATCTACTCTAATCTTCTTCTTACTTCCTTTTATCATTCCTGATGCGTTTTAACCTTTTGATGTAGGAAACTGGAAATATTTAGGTATGCATCCTTCTGTTGGCAAGAATAAAGGATAAATATCCCACTTTCCTCCCAAAATTAGAACTGTGTTTTAAGTTTTATCAGTTGTGCATTTGAGAAAAGAATCTTCACTGCACTGTGCATTCTTCAATATAGAGCACAGCAGCGGTCACAGAATTGCTAAAAGGAGAGCAGCGTTATCCTTTCAAACAGTGAAACAAGCCGAAAGCCTGCTCTCTGAAACAATACTAATGCTGACTCTTCACAGTTCATTCATTTGATCCATTCTTACCTCTCTACTGGAGACCTCTGTTTTTCATTGTTATTTATACACTCTATACATGGGGTAGGGCAGGGAGTGTCAATTATTTTTTGGCAAGCTCCATATTTTTTGGTCGAGGTACAATCAAGGTCCAGATTCCAGAGACAATAAAAAAATAACAACGATAATAAGTAAATAAAAAGATTTTGGGATCCATTCAAAAGTGCCTGGCGGTCCGGATTTGGACCATGGTCTGGCTATTGACTACCCCGGGGTAGGATATGTATGTTTACACTACAAGTGCTACAGTGGCCCAGCTGAAGCTATACTGCTATAGTGTTCTAGTATAGACACTTGCTATATCGATGGAAGGGTATTTTCCATCGCTGTAGTAAATCCTCCCACTTGAGAGGCAGTAGCAGAAGAATTCTTCTGTTGACCCCGCTGCCTCTACAGTCGTGGGTTAGGTCAACCTAATTACATCACACAGAGTGAGAAATTTTCACAGCCCTGAACAATGTCCCTAGATTGACCTAAATTTTAGGTATAGATCAGGCCTTAGAATAACTGTTGTTCTTCATGACAGCTGTGATCCATAGCTGATTTCTTATAACAAAAAGGCATGTGTGCTGGCAGTAGAGATGGGTAAAGTAATTCACATAAAATAAAAAACTTCCACGTAACTCAGTTATAACATGGTTAGATCCTATCCACACTACCCCTTTTAGCTATGAGGTAACCAGGACAGGATAACCACAGTGAAATGGATTTCCCCCCTGACATTTCTATATTTGTATTGTAGACATACCCCAAGAAGAAACTACCTTCCAAATGCCTTGCCAAGTAAACAGATTAGCAAACTAACACGAAATTTCTTTAAGCAATCCCTGGAATTCAATCCTTTCTCCCCCATTTCTGCTCCTCGTCCTCCTCAAGGGATTTTACTTATCCTCTTCTCAGTGACAGAAACATAAATAGGGTGGAATTAAATAAAAATCAAAACAATAATAGGAAAAAAATTAGAAAACAAAAACCACACAAATGCTTACAAACTGGAAGCAGCTCCTAACACTAGGTTCAATGTTACTGCCACCAAATGATGCAACTTCGCCCAGCTGTCGTGGGATCTGGATGGAGTCATGCAGGAGAAGGCCCAGTCGGCGCTGGTCACAGAATCCAGTGGAACTTGCTACCTGCTTGAATAGGTCTAGAGAGACAAAAATGAAGCAAAAAGAGTTTTAGGGATAGAACGTGTCAACCGGGACTATAGAAGTATTACAGAAACGCAATTATTTTCAGAGGCTCAAAAGTGCGGTGCCATTATTGGAGTGACCATATTTCAATGAGCCTCCATTTGGCTATCTTCTCTGTTTATTAACCATTTAATTAAGTAGCCTGATGCTACTGTCTGATTAGATCATGGGCTTGTATCTGTCAAGGAGGACCATTCTAAAATAACAATCTGACAGCATTTATATAATACTCAGAACCAACACAAGCTATAACTCCATAACACAGTTACTTAGACTGCAACCATAACACATGTATACAGGGTCTCTGATTCACAAAATCTTTTAAACATTAATGTACATATAGTCTGAACAGCTTTAAACATACAGCCCAGAGGACCTGATTCTGTTTCACATCATGAGTTGCTTTAAAAAAAAAAAAGAAGAGAACAGGAGTACTTGTGGCACCTTAGAGACTAACAAATTTATTAGAGCATAAGCTTTCGTGGACTACAGCCCACTTCTTTTTGCGGATACAGACTAACACGGCTGCTACTCTGAAATCTAAAAAAAAAAAAGTTCCCTAACTTTGATATTTCATAATATAATGAACTCAAGATGATTTTTTAAATGAAAGAGAAACATTACACTGTTACAGAGCCCCACCACCAGTTGGGAATGTTAATATCATATTAGGTTTTAGTTTTTGAAGTAAAAGCCCTGTTCTATTATAGAAACACTATCAAAAAGGAATCCTTACCGGACTGAATCATCATCCTACCATAAGCACAATTTAATTTGTTGGGAATTAGTTATACTACAAATACTTTGAGGAGGTTTTAAAGTTTGTAATAAAATGAAAAATCAAGTTAGGATCAACTGAAATATTTATTTGGTAGTACCCCAGTTGATAATTCATGACCTGAATAAATTCTGCTTATTTTTCAAAGAGTAAAAAATGTCACTAAAGTAATAATATGCTTTCACGGCTGTGGCCGCCTTAATATTTCATTCCACACTGGGGGTGCAATTACACAGGAATGTCAATATCCTTGATAAGTTTCCTAGCACAGCTTTGACAAATTATTTTTTCTTTTTGGTTCTTTTTAATTAGAAGAGTATAAGAATATAATTCTTCTCATATCTGGTATCAGAATACATGATTTCAAGGCAAATCCTGCCTTTACCTCCCTGGCCCTGGAGACTTTCTCTGGCAGCACAACCAATACTGTTCTGCTGAACAAGTGGGTGGCAAACTCCCTGTGCAGAACTCAACTCTACAGGAACTTCCAGAGCATATCAGTGAGCAGGAATGAGAATAGTCAAAAGATCAGCTGCTATGATGCTTCTGTCCTCTCCACTCACCACAACAAGGAGAGCCATTAAGACAATAGGAGCTACTGCAGCATCAGGTAGTGGAAATGGAGCAATGGTGGAACAAGTCCACCACCCCAGGGAGAAGATTCCTTTCTTCTCACCTCCAACTGCACATCCTTTCATTTCCCTCTTATTAAAGCATCTACAATGCTTAAAGGAAGATTGCACATTACAATCAATCAGATGCATTCTTTTTTGGAGAGACATTATTCAGCACTCACAAGGGAATAAATTAATCTTAATAGATATTTCTCATCTCTAACTTTTATAATCCTAACAGTGTACCCCTTTTCTGGGAAACAGCTAAAAATCAAAGTTTTGACATTTTGTTTTACATGTTTTAATTTGACCCAATTTTACAAAATATTTTAAATGTTGCAGTGAAGGGGGAGGTTGGTTCAATATATTTCCATATTCCTGTGTTTAAAAAATGTAAACATTTTCAAAATTTTGATTTTCAAAAAGATGCTGAATTAAGAATACATCTTGAGTCAAATCCTAAAGTTCTTGCTCAAGCTCCAACCCTGTAAACTTCTACATATGAGTATTACCTTTGAACTCATCAGGGTACCCATGTGCATAAAGTTACTCACATGAGTCAATTATCAGGGGGTAGCCGTGTTAGTCTGTATCTACAAAAACAACAAGGAGTCTGGTGGCACCTTAAAGACTAACAGATTTATTTGGGCATAAGCTTTCGTGAGTATTCATGTGGAATATTGGTATAAAGTGCTTCTACATCCATGGTGGCCAGGATGGTATTGCAATGCCCCTCTGCCATGTACACTGGCCAAACC